TAGAAAAATCAGCTTTATTTACTATTATAAGGCAGACCTTAGAACATGGCTAGCCAAGAGGTAGCCCTAGAGCTACAATTTGCCAGGATATCTACTTCCAAGTCATCTGGGAGTATGTAGTTATTCAACAGCTGGAGGGATACTTGTTTAAAGGGTTACTCCAAACAAAAACTGTATTTTATTAAAACACTGTTTTTGGTAGTAGTAAGCTTGCTGGCATGATCCCCCCCCCACCCCCCCCTTGTTAAAAAATAAGCAAACAATAAGATTAGCTGCTGTTATCCGCCGAAGCCAAGTTCTCCCTGCAGCTTGATCCTTCTCTGGTGACGTCACTTGACCTTACTAGAGGGTTGAGAAGAGGACATGGGCAGCATGAAGGGGCAGTCATGCTATGCATGCTGACAACAGATGAGAATCATACAGAGAATTTACATTAGTCAATCCTGAAACTCTCGATCGCGCTGGTTAATGACACTGTGGTGGGCTTAGACCTCCAAAAACAAGGTGTTTTAACTCTGTATGTGCAGCGTTTCTTACTGAAACACTACATATATAGACTCCAAGAACCATGACTACTTGAAATCACTGATGTTTTACTCCAGCTCTTTAACCCTTTCTCAATATTAGGGCACGCTATGATGCTATGCCGTCCTACAAAAGGAGTGCTTCAACGCTGTTAGCGTAATACTCAGTCTCCTCCCAGATCTGATTGGGGGAACTGCCTGACATCCCATTCCAGCCAAGTGATTTAACTATGATCCCATGACTTGGATCGGCTTGATAATAAGATTAGTGGCAAGAAGACTGCATGGGTTGTCAGGCAGATCCCCCAATATATTATTATTATTATTATTATTATTATTATTATGTTATTATTTATATAGCACCATCAAATTCCGCAGCGCTTTACAATGGGTGGACAAATGGACATGTAGTTGTAACCAGACAAGTTGGACACACAGGAACAGAGGGGTTGAGGGCCCTGCTCAATAAGCTTACATGATAGAGGGAGTGGGGTAAAGTGACACAAATGGTAAGGATAGTATTAGACTAGTGACAGTTGCAAGAGATGAATCAGTTGGGAGCTATATAACATAACAAATTTTTAACGAAAATTAGGTGCACTCACAGGCAGAAGTTTATAAGGTAGAGTGCCTGCAATTGTAATTTGTTACATATATATATATATATATATGTCACATGTGCCTCATTCCAGGATCCTATTTAGCCTTGACTTACAGAGAGTCCCACTAAGGAAGTATTTCCCAAGTAAGTGGATAAATCTCATAAGAGCAAGCATTAGGCTGCAAGGATAGGACCTGCCAAGAATGGCATACATTGATGTTGTGGCAGGCTTATGCAATATATGATCATATAATGTAACTAAACCCCCATTATTTTTTGCCTTGGTGACTTGTTTTTAGATAAAACGATTACAATCTCTAAGACTTGAAATCATTGTCTAGTGAATTAGCGAGTGCACTGGATTGTGTATTTTGTATATTTTGCCCCAGCAGCACCCTATAATGTATGCATGTCCAGGTGAGTGCATCCCTCTTGGTTTCATTTATATATTTGGTAGTCCAGGCCAACTCCTTGGTTTTGCACCCCTCGCTGTCAAACGAGAATATTGTAAAAATAACTATATAAGAAATAACTATATAAGACATTAAGATGTGTGTTTATATAAAGATTTGGTAGTGCGTGAGAAAGCCAGTCTTCATTAAGTCCTTCATTTCTGGTGTTGAAATGTGTGATCAATTTCATCTCAAATGTCTTTCGTTAATGAGAGGCTTTTAAATTCCCTTTAAGAACTTTAATCCTGAGGTTTTGGATGGAGTGACCAGTCTGGGTGAAGTGATGACCAACAGGGATACAATATCCGCTTTCCTTGTGGTTCTTGATTGAGTGTCTGTGTAGATTAATTCTGAGATGCAGCTTGAAGCCAGTTTCTCCAATGTAGCAACCCTTGTCACACACTGTACACTGTATCATGTACACCACATACGCAGATGTGCACGAATATGATCCCTTAATGTTGTATGAGTGAGTGATTTGTTGCATTGTACAGTGCCATTCTGTGTGAGCTCCTGTTCTGTGGTCAATTTGCTGCGGACCAAGCTCTGTCTCAGTTTGGGTGGTTGTTTGAATGTTAGTATGGGGGGTTCAGGAAATATTTATTTGAGTGTGGGGTACTCTGAAATTAATGGTTGTAGCTCTTTAATATTTTTACGTACTCCTTCTAGAGTTGGGTTGTATGTAACTACTAGAGGGATTCTTGTTTTGTTTTAATGAAAATTAGGGCATATGGGTAAGCTCAAGGACATACAGTTGCAAGAAAAAGTATGTGAACCCCTTGGAATGATATGGATTTCTGCACAAATTGGTCATAAAATGTGATCTGATCATCATCTAAGTCACAACAATAGACAATCACAGTCTGCTTAAACTAATAACACACAAAGAATGAAATGTGTTTTTATTGAACACACCATGTAAACATTCACAGTGCAGGTGGAAAAAGTATGTGAACCCCTAGACTAATGACATCTCCAAGGCTAATTGGAGTAAGATGTCAGCCAACTGGAGCCCAATCAATGAGATGAGATTGGAGGTGTTGGTTACAGCTGCCCTGCCCTATAAAAAACACACACCAGTTCTGGGTTTGCTTTTCACAAGAAGCATTGCCTGATGTGAATGATGCCTTGCACAAAAGAGCTCTCAGAAGACCTACGATTAAGAATTGTTGACTAAAAATAAAGCTGGAAAGGGTTATAAAAGTATCTCCAAACGCCTTGCTGTTCATCAGTCCACAGTAAGACAAATTGTCTATAAATGGAGTTAGCACTGATGCTACTCTCCCTAGGATCCTGTAAAGATGACTGCAAGAGCACAGCGCAGACTGCTCAGTGAGGTGAAGAAGAATCCTAGAGTGTCAGCTAAAGACTTACAAAAGTCACTAGCAAATGCTAACATCCCTGTTAGCGAATCTACAATACGTAAAACACTAAACAAGAATGGATTTCATGCGAGGATACCACAGAGGAAGCTACTGCTGTCCAAACAAAACATTGCTGCACGTTTACAGTTTGCACAAGAGCACCTGGATGTTCCACAGCAGTACTGGCAAAATATTCTGTGCACAGATGAAACCAAAGTTGAGTTATTTGGAAGAAACACACAACGCTATGTGTGGTGAAAAAAAGGCACAGCACCCCAACATCAAAACCTCATCCCAACTGTGAAGTATGGTGGTGGGGGCCTCATGGTTTGGGGCTGCTTCGCTGCGTCAGGGCCTGGACGGATTGCTATTATCGAAGGAAAAATGAATTCCCAAGACATTTGCAGGAAACTTAAGGCCATCTGTCTACCAGCTGAAGCTCAACAGAAGATGGGTGTTGCAACAGGACAATGACGCAACGCATAGAAGTAAATCAACAACAGAATGGCTTAAACAGAAGAAAATACGCCTTCTGAAGTGGCCCAGTCAGAGTCCCGACCTCAACCCGATTGAGATGCTGTGGCATGACCTCAAGAAAGCGATTCATACCAGACATCCTAAGAATATTGCTGAACTGAAACAGTTCTGTAAAGAGGAATGGTCAAGAATTACTCCTGACCGTTGTGCACGTCTGATCTGCAACTACAGGAAATGTTTGGTTGAAGTTATTGCTGCCAAAGGAGGTTCAACCAGTGATTAAATCCAAGGGTTTACATTCTTTTTCCACCTGCACTGTGAATGTTTACATGGTGGGTTCAATAAAAACATGGCAACATTTCATTCTTTGTGTGTTATTAGTTTAAGCAGACTGTGATTGTCTATTGTTGTGACTTAGATGATGATCAGATCACATTTTATGACCAATTTGTGCAGAAATCCATATCATTCCAAAGGGTTCACATACTTTTTCTTGCAACTGTATGCATGTTAAATGGCACAGACTAACATTGTTTACAGGTTGGCACTATTTAAATACTTAAGTGCCTGCCTTTGTGGTTGGATAAAAGTAGCAAACCAAGAATCCTACCATTTTTTCATATAACATTATTCCACATTAAAGGATCACACTAGAGGCTGCATTTCATTTCCTGTGTTGTATTTAATTTGAACCCTGTATTTATTATTCAAGGATGCAATTTGGCTTAGCATAATCGTATCAGCTTTGTTTTGCAAAAACAAAATGTCTAGAGAACCACAGGAAGAAAAGTGTTAACGTGAGGTGAAATTATTATTAAATGAACAGTTCTAGTGATTTTTTGACAGTTACAAAATAGGTGAAGAGGTGGGACACCATTGCTGTTAATTTTTGAAAATAAGTGAAGATTTAATACAGATACTTAATCACAGCCTGCACGTCCCTCAGATAGGCAGCCAATACCTGATTAATGTACACACAGCATTAGTCCTGTGGGATGGTTTAACAGGTAAACATGTTCAAGGCAAGCAAAAAAATGCAGAAACAATGGTTCCAGGCCAATCATTATTTATTGCTAGTCTACATGTAAGACGAGTAGTGTGCAGCATTTATCTGATGACGTGAGACTCGATATCTACAAGTTCAATGTCACTTCCATGTATGCAAATGTTCTAAAACATTGACAACTATTTATTCGTATATTGCTGTTCCAATCAATTATTCCCTTTAAACATAGGAGGGTAATTGCCATTTTACCTGTTACTCTTTCCAGGGTAGGATAGATATACATTTAAAGGATCACTATAGGGCCAGGAACACAAACATGTATTCCTGACCCTTTAGTGTTAACACCACCATCTAGCCCCCCTGGGCCTCTCATGCCTCCATAAATATAGCAAAATCTTGAACTGTATTCAATCCTGAAGCTGTAACTCTGCATGCTGTTAGACTCAGAAAAACAAGCAGTCTGCTGACATCATTAGAAGTGGTAGCCTGATCCAATCACAGTACTTCCTCATAGGATTGGCTGAGACTGAAAAAGAGGCAGATCAGGGGCAGAGCCAGCATGATTCAAACACAGCCCTGGCCAATCAGCATCTCCTCATAGAGATGCATTGAATCAATGAATCTCTATGAGGAAAGTTCAGTGTCTGCATGCAGAGGGAGGAGATACTGAATGTTTGGATGCATTTTAGGCAGCCATGACCCAGGAAGGATCTCCAACAGCCATCTGAGGAGTGGCCAGTGAAGTTATCACTAGGCTGTAATGTAAACACTGCATTTTCTCTGAAAAGACAGTGTTTACAGCAAAAAGCCTAAAGGTAATGATTCTACTCACCAGAACAAATTCAATAAGCTGTAGTTGTTCTGGTGACTATAGTGTACCTTTAATAGGAAACATGGTTATTCAAATTATTGCTGTGAAATCATTTTGAATTCAAACGGAATTTAAGGCCTAACTCAAAGCATGACTGACCTGTTGAATTTTTCCAAATAGGCTATTTTGGTCTTAAATTTTGCATTGACTTTGGCTTACTGAAAAGTCTCACTAGTAAATATCCCTATAAGTATGTGCGTTGAATACTTATTAGCTTCTTGCCCAGAGATGATCATTTCTAGCTTAGAATTTTAGATCAAAATATCAATTTATGGGGAAAGTTGCATTCACAGGTCTTCAAATAAAGATGATAATTTGTGTTTCATATTTGTTTAATATTTATTATTTATTTAATAAAATAATTATTATTTATATAGGTAATGCCCTTAACAGGTCCCCTCTCAGCATCACTGATACTGTCATCATCTGTGAATTAAATCAGTTTTTCTGCTCCTTCAAGTGTACTGAGGATTATATTATCTAAATAGAACAGCCATTCCATGATCCAGACAGCATTTTATTCTTTCAATGGAAAGCTTTCTCAGTATCGAAGATGAAACGGCTACTGTACAAGCTTTATAACTTCTTGCAGCCCTTATAACTACTGAATACACTTATATCGGTCTGTACCTCCCAACATTGGCAGGTATTATATTTGGGACTGGATTGGCTGGGTTGTGTCAGTGATACATATTAAGTCACAGGTGACACTTAGCTGAAGAGGGCATGACAGCCAAGCAGGCATGTTCACCAGGCTGGTATGTATTCTTGCAAAATAAATAACCAGAACAGGTGCCCATAAAGCTCCTGAATAGCTCTTAAATGGGTTGAAATACCTGGGAAATGCCTTGTGTCTTGTGGGTCCTGTGTAATCGTTTGTGCATGTTTTGTGGGCTTTTTTCTGGTGTGTCCAGAAGAGGCCAATAAAGACATATGTGATAGTAGCACACAGGACAATAAGTAACACTTATCTATTAACCCCACTGGCACCTGATACTGGCAGCATAACTATTAAGAAGCAGTACATGAAGTATCCTAAATCACACTATACATATGTCCCTGTACAAGAGTGGTTCCAGTGAAAAAGTGACTTTTTGTATTTATATTATACATATACATACGTACTGAGCAGTGACAGGCACAGTTTCAATGTAAACCATTAGCCATGTTCTCCCTACTGCTGCCATTAGTACAATGACTCCCGTCATCACAAATATAAAACTGTTATTTTCAGTGAGCTTTATCTGACCTTTCCATGTTGGATAATCAAGCAATAATACGTCATAAGTGGGTTATAAAGGTCGTCTGTCAAACAGCTTCATTCCTCCGAATGATGAGTAAAGCAGCTAACAACCTGCCCATATATGACACTTGTTAAAATTATATGTAGCAGTGAGGTCCTCTTGGATTTAAAGTTATGCTAATGTGTTTAAGATCATGTTTGCAGTTGTAGGTTTCATTCACATTATTTCTTCATAGCATTTACTTTGATGAAATATTATAAATTAATTATGAACAGAAAGAAAGACTAAGGCTTTGCCAGCATTTTTCCCAGTCAAGTGGGACACATTGTTTAGTGAGTGTACAGGTACATTTAATTCTTCTCATGCTTTGGTATATAAAATAGATATTGTGTTAAAGACATCACATTCAACAATCAATGAAATGTGAATCTAGCTGTGCTATGATTTTTTTTTTTTCTTCAAGCTGGCTGTTTTGGTAAAAAAAAATTGGGGTTTAAGCAAGATTTGCAATCTTCCCTCCAATTTCCCAGTGCCCTCACTAGTAACGGAGCCTAATGAGTTTTGGAGCTTGATGTAACATAGTATCCCATCCTTCAGCATGTTTGTAATCATAGTTATTCAACAGCCAACAGGAAGATGTGCAGCCTCCTACTAATTACTGTGAATACTCTGCAAGCTATAACATACATTTTGCTTCCATGTTCTCCTAAAAGATGTTTAAATATATTCATGGATAGATTTCTCTTGTAATATTTTGGAAGAATTGTCTTTGTGCTACTCAGGAGACCTTTTTTTTGTGGGAGATTAAAGAGTGAACCCATTTTTTTTTTTTTTGCAGAAACTTTTAATACTTTCACTATTTGTTGCTAAAAATTATTGACATTTTTGTAATTATTTGTTAATTGTCTTATACCAGTAGAGCCGAAAAAAATGAGCGTGGTGTTTTTAGAAGTGCTCACGTGTACATAACACAATGAGTTTACAATGAATAGGCCAAAATCTCCTTAAACATTGTGACACTGTTTAAAATGAATGTTAACACCCTGACTAATCTATATTTTGTGGTGTGGCATCGAGAGCAAGACAATGTACTCATTGGTGGCACAGAGCTATCTTCTCTGCTCTCTGTGCATAACAATAGTGATTGCCGGTATATTATGTCATATTCTTGCCTTAAATGCATTGAAAGAGTAAAAGAAAAAAGGTAAAAAGATCTATGCTACTATAGGCGCAGATCTCATGCTCCTCTACTAGACCACAATGGATTGGACAAAGTACCTTGTTTCTACTTCTAGAGTCAAGCAACATGATCCTTCTAGCCATCTACCACAAATGGTGAGAGCTATCATATCTGAGAATAAGGTCCTAATTAGGAGGTACACTTATTGCATATATTGACGATATAGTACTCTATGACTTCAGTAAATTCTTCGACGCATAGTAAATTCATTTTAAATGGCATAGTTATTATTTACATGAGAACAGACTGACAGTGACAGCTCATAGAAATTGATACTGCATATCCTCTCCTTAACTGTAATATATTTATTGCTGATAAAGTAGAGAGACCAAGATGTGCTTTTCCAATGTTCTGATTGCAGAAGCCTGTAAACAGCCTGGTCCTGGCACTGGTACACATCTTAGTTTTCATGCTGTTTTTTTATGCCTAGTCCCTTTGCTAGGGGTGCTGTCGTTGCTTGATTTTGGCTTCCAGCACGTCCCCGCTCTGCTCCTTTACTTTCTTCACTGATGCCACTTGACAACTGTGCCAGTGCCCAGGGAGATGTTACGAGGTCATCTCATTGCTAGAAACATGTGAGCATCTGCATGATTTGTGCCCTCGCTGCATTGGTGCTTTGGCTTTTGTTACTGGTTTGAATTGTATGCTGCTCAAATAATACTAATAGATTTATGTTGAATTTTGAATGTCATATAGTTTACATATTATTATCACTATCATTAGATTTTTTTTAATAGATTTATTGATTGATTGATTTATTGAATTGTCCATGATTATAAGGTGTGTCTCAGTTAGAGGTTAACCTTGAGTATCTGGTTCCTGGAGCGGATTCTTCCTTTGGCATCCCCACTTTAAATGTGGATGATTAAGCACATAAAAAGATTTGATGGCAAGGAAAGTTAGTACTGGTGGAAGAAAACTGAGATCAATAAAAAAAAAAATAAAAAAAAATTAAGTGAACAGTTGATATCTTCACTTTCACTATCCATGATTGTACAAATCTTCATGAAAAATAATAATTCCAGTTAACTGGAATATAGTAACTGTGTCCATATGCCAATCATCACAGTAATGCCATCCCATGGCCTTTGCCACCAATCAGGGGAATGTAGTAGATTGGCAACTACGTTACAAAGATTGTCCTTATTAGTTCACCTGGCCTAATTTTTGCAATTATTTTGTTAATTCACTACTATTTACTTTTTAATGAAAAAAAATTAAAAAAAATTAATGTAGCTGAGTGTGAATGTGAGTGTATATTTGTGTAGTGTGTGGATGCAGGGGTTTGTTTGTATTATGTCTGTGTGTGTGGATACAGTGATGCATTTGTATGGATACTCAATGTGTGTGGTGCAAGGGTGTATTTGTTTGGAGAATCAAGTTGTGTGTGTATGGGGCGCTATCTGCGATGTTTCAGCATGTGTGAATGCAGCTAGATTGTGTATAGTTACATAGAAATCTAGGTTAAAAAAAGACCAAAGTCCATCAAACTTGAAACCCATTGTTAAAAACAAAAAAAAAAAGGCAAAAAAAATAAATAAATTGTAGCCATTTCTGAAAACATTCCTTCTTGCAGTATATGCGTATAAGAGTGTGCATTAGTATGTTCGTATATCTGATATATGAATACATTATTTGGACCTTCCTGGACTTCACATCTCTTCATCCCTGTATATTTCTCACTCACTCCCCCAGTCTTTTACCTCTCCGGCATTTTTTTTATCTTCCCCTTCTGCTCCACTTGTTTCTATTCCTCATCATCTATACACCTTTGTCTTTCTTTCTCTTGTGGCACTCTCTCTTCCTATCTGTGCTTCTCTGCTAACCTCCAATTTGTGCATCTCTCTCCATTTGAGTCTCTCTCTCCCCAACTAGCCACCTCTTTATGTGTCTCTCATTAATATCTTTACTTTTGTGTGTTCTATCCCAGTCTCCCCACAAATCCTTGTGTTGCTATCAACTCCCACCACTTCATTTGTGCCCCACCACCTTATGCCTGTGTCTCTTCGGTGTGTTTCTCATGTCTCCTTTTTCCTTCTTAAACAGTGTAAAAAATGAGATAGTGGCAAAGCCATGCAATAGATATACGTAGGTGAGATAGCTCAGTAGGCTAATGCATCATCTGTAGAATCACAGGTTCAATACCCAGCAGTGTTGACTCAGCCTTTCATCCTTTCGCAGATAAAATTAGTATTTTTAATTGGGTAATAGTACCATCCCCTGGATATTGGGCAAAAATAACATCCCTAGGACATACTTGGAAACCAGAGTAACCTGAATGTATCTTTCCTTGTCAAATATTTTGATATTATTATTATATAGATATATACTTGTATATATAAAAAAAATGGCCAGTGAAATTGCTGCTGCTGTGATGAGGATGCTTGAACCAGGGCACTTCATATGGGACTTTCATACTCTTTTTCATCTTTAATGAGGTCTTGTAGCTATTAATATTTT